TTCTCATTTAAAATGCTCAATTTTTATATGATAAAATTTGTTAACAGGCATCTTCATTTAGAATTATGTTGCATTGCTCGTGAATTGAATGGAATGTTCGAAATCCAAATAGTTTTTGAAATGGTATCTTACTTATTTTTCTTAACATCAATGTGTCATTACTTATATGGAATGGTAATACAGAAAGTACATGAGGAAGCACCAATAACTGCATGGATTGGCAATGCTCTTTGGAGTTTCTCTTTTGTATCAAGACTTTGCATTTTAAATTATATTTGTGAGACTGTCAGTATTAAGGTAAAATCATATAGATTTCAATAAAAAAATATTTAACCGTAATAAATTTTAAATATTTTAGGCTAATAAAACTGGTAAAATAATTTGCCAACTAACAAGTGCTCTTCGATATAATAATATTGGAAAAGAGGTAAGACATTTTTTAATAATATTTTTTAATAATGAAATAAAAATTTTGAATTGTTTGAAGTTAATGATTTATTTACACACAGATGTATCAATTTACTTTTCAAATAATGCATCATCCTTTGAGATATACTGGAATGGGTCTCTTTTACTTAGGCAACAACTTTCTCCGAAAGGTTTAATTTACATTTATACTATTTTTTATTATTCCATCTTTTTATCTCATGTTTTATATCATAAATTGTAGAAATTTAGAAAATTATTTTATTTGTAGAATATTGAAATTTACATTGCAAACTTTTTTTGCGAATGTATGTAATACTCATAAAAATAAATATACAAAATTTTAAATTATTTTAAATTTTAAATTATCTATAACTCAATTGCACATCTAGTAAAAGTTAATTAATAAAATTAATATGTTTCTTTTTTTAGTTCTGCATGAAAATTGTAACATTCATGATCATCATATTGCAAATGTCAGGAAACTAAAAAAATACGTCCTGAAAACTATAAACGAATCTACCATATAATAACATTTTATAAGAATGCATTAATATTATTTTCTTTAATTATATCAATAAGATCGCTGCGTTGAAGCTGATATAATTATAATTAAAAACAAACATGCAATTATAATTAAAAACAGATTAACAAATCATGTAAATATTTGTATTTTGTGTGTTGTACCCAAAAGTACACATTTGTATACATTTTTACAATAAACACATTTATTTTACATTTAAAACAATAATAAAATATCAGAAGTAAACAAAAAATTATTTTATCTTTTTAATCATATTTTTTAATGCTTAATGATTTATAAAAATTTATTTTACTCGTTTTATCAAACTTTAATATATAGTTTATTATAAAACTATTTACAAATGCAATATGATTTATTTTTGTCTTCTTAATTTTATTTCTATTTTGTGAATGAATTATAATTTGTTATTATTCAGTTATGCTTTTATTCATCAATAAGTAGTGTTACTTGGATATATTGCTTCTTTAAAGTCAGTAGTAAGATAAAAACAGTAGTAAGATAAAAACAAAACTTTATTTTTAAAACAAATAGCAAATACAAAAATAATTGTAAATTAATTATTTTGATACTAATCTGAAACTAGTTTATATTTATAAAATTATATATTATTAGATTAATAAAAACTATTATAAAATTTAGTCTAAAATTATATTTAGTTAAAATTGTAAAATTGGAAGTTTCAAAAAATTAGATTTTATAAAATTAAATTTTATAAAATGGGAAATATCCCAGAAAGAGAGAGAGAGAGAGAGAGAGAGAGAGAGAGAGAGAGAGAGAGAGAGAGAGAGATTTGTTTACGAATCTTTTTTAGTTTTTTTATTTTTTTTCTGGATTATATTAAACATATGTTTGCATGTCTCTGTCCATTTGAAAAAATTTACTACTCATGACATCATCGCGAATTTCTGTATTTTAATAACTTATATCAATAAGACATTATTCTTTCAGAAACGTAAAAGTATAAAATCAAAAAAGAAAAAAAACAGAAACAAATCTGTAAATAGATATAAATTTTTATATCTTTACAAATGATAGAAACATTTTTGTATATGTACTTTTTTCTATTTTTATTATTTTATTATATTATTATAAATTGATATTAAAATTAAAAAACAACTCTATAGGTTATAGAGTTTCATTATTTTATTCTATATTTTATTCTATCTTTTATTATATGCTAATATTATTACATGTGTATGAAATATAGAATATGATAATAAAAATTATCTTATGTATAAGAATATTATGAAAAATAATATTGAATTTTTTGTGCTTTGTGCAATAAAACACGTGAAAATTTTATATTACTAGCATAATTTGCAGTATGAAAAATTCATCTCCTTCTTGTTTGTTAAAACAAATCGATTATTTTAATATTTACAAGTGCTGGAAAAATATAAATATGTTACAATTATGAAAATCAGCTATCCCATTACGATGCGATCGCAAAGCATCTAGCAAATGAGTTCAAACAGTGTTATTTTGAACATGTGATAGTAATGATTATGGTGACTATTCATATATAATGTGTTTTCTTATGGGTTTAGGTGTCTATCCTATAAAACAATCAGAATTAAAGATACGATGGATCGTATATTTCAGCATGATATATTCTTTAATAATCTGGTTCATCCACGCTTATTTCTTTTTCTATATCTTGAATTTTTTTACATTAAAAGTAATATATCCTACCTTTATTAATATGATTGTTATAGCAATTAACATCTTCTCTTTATTTATATCCATAATTATGAATTTTTATTATCAGAAGGTACACACGTACGCAATAATCTTTCAAATATATTCCTCGACAAAATTAATGCATAATATTTTTTTTATTTTTTTATTTAAAATTTTTTTATTTAAAATTTCTTTAAAATTTTTCGTTAAAATTTAAATATCAGCTTTTAAAGAAAAAGTAAAGAAAAATTATGCATTAATTTATACAGGAATATATTTATATTAAAATATTAAATTTATATATCAATTTATGTATGTGTTTTATAATATTAATTATATCTAATAACAATGTTTTTGAGCATAATTGATTTTTATTTCAATTCTCTATATATACATCTGCATATGTCACAAATTTTGTGTAAATTAAAGATACTTAAAAAAGTTAAGCACATAAATAATATCCTTAAAGACTTTAAATATCTTTACGTAATTATTTTTATACATGATTGTTTTATTATAGCATAAATTGTTTTTAATTGTCTCTAATATTGTTTTAGAGATTTGAAGTATGTCTAATAAAATTCGCTGCAATAGATGATACTTTGGAAGAGCTCGGCACTCCAAAAATATATCGAAAGATGCATATGTTGTCAAAACGAGTGATAATCGTTTGGATCGTACATAGTCTTGTTATAAACTTTTTTGACATGTTATATTGGTTAAATAGAAAAGAAACTGCTTTTTGGGGATTATTTTTATCTCACATACTAAATTACTGTCTTCATATCAATACATTTCTGGACTTATTATTTATTTTTTTCTTATGGTTTGTATAATATTTACAGTGTACAGAGTGTTTCATCAACATGCAGCTCAATACGACCGATTGCCCGCTCATAGGAGCACAAGAAAAATAAAAAAAACTTAAACTTAATATAACTCTTAACATTATAGCAATAATTCTCATATATTATATATATGATTGCAATAATATTATAATATAATAATAATAATATTAGAATATTAGAATATTATAATATTATTGAAATCATATGTAGATGAGGATTATTGATATACATGTTAAAAGTTATATTATAATAATAATAATATTATAATATTATAATATTATTGAAATCATATGTAGATGAGGATTTATTGATAAACATGATAAAAGTTATATTATAATAATAGTAATATTATAACATTATAACATTCTTTTAGATATATACTTTCAAATATTCATGTCACAAATTCACTATTCTGTGCAATTTAATTTTTTCTTCTAACAGCTTATTATGCGAAATGTACTTCGTCGAAAATTTACGCAAGTAATCTATATTACCTATTCCTGCATTACCGGTCTTGCGCTCCTATGAGCAGGCAACCTGTCGTATTGAGCTGTATGTTGACGAAACACTCTGTACATATATATATTAACTTTATATATTGCATACAGTTTTTGCAATATTCATATTTTAAATATATATATATAATATGATAGAGAAAATAAATAGAAATATAGACATGTATATCAACTAATATCTACTTCTTGTCTTTATAAGTTAATGCCATTTTTACAATTTGCTCATTAATTAATAATATGAATATATATAATTACCATATTCTAAAATGATATTTTTATTCAAAATTTGAAAAAGTTTTTGTGACATTCTATAGTTACTTCAATATAAAAATTTTTTTACAAAATAGATTACATTTATTAAAAAGGCTTGCTTTTTACAAATATATATACAAGTCGAAAATTTTGCTATATATTATATAATTTTTGAAAGATGTTTTGCAATATTAGGTATATTGGTACCAGATTTGAAAAAGTAAATGAGTATGTGCGATGTTTATTGGTGGAAGAGAAGCATGAGCTGAGATGTACATGGAAGAAATCTATAATAGCTATTCGTCAAAATACTTTATGCATTGACAATTGCAAGCAAATATTATGGACTACAATGTAAATCTCGACACGTATACATATGACATAAATGATCAAATCAATATAAACTTGATAATGCAATTTGAATGAAACTCTATTTCTGAAAATTATAAAAATAGTAAAAATTATAAAAATTGTTTAAATTTTCTAAATTATATGAGTTCTCATCTCTATTTTTTTTCGTAACAAAAAGTATTCTTTAACAGGCAGCTTCATTTGGAATTATGCCGTCTTACTCGCGAGATAAATCATATATTTGGAACACAAATGACTTTGGAAATGGCATCCTATCTTTTGTTTTTAACAGTATTGTGCTATTATTTATACATAATCTTAATGCAGGAACAAAAAGAAATACAAGTATACTCCTGGCTTTGTCTCAGTCTATGGGTCTTTCTATTTTCAGTGAAGTTATGCGCTGTAAATTATATCTGTGAGAATGTAACAATTAAGGTAAAATAATGCGCAATTTTTAATAAAGATATATATTTAACGTAATAAATTCTATTCAAATTTCAGGCTAATGAAATTGACAAAACAATTCACCAACTTACAAATTCTATTCGATATGCAAATGTTTGGAAGGAGGTAAAAAATATTGATATAGCAATAAGTAAATGTAGTAAATGAAATTGTTTAAGTAAAACAACGTTTCTTGTGTACAGATATCTCAATTTACTTTGCAAATAATGCTTCATTCGTTGAAATTTAATGGAATGGGTCTCTTCTACTTTGGCAATGACTTCCTTCGAAAGGTTTATTTTTGCATTTATCTCTTTTTATTTTATTTTATATTGTTTTTTTATAACTTATAATAATTGAATGAAATTTCTCTTTCTCAATAATTTTTCATCAAAACTTGTTTCTACTGTTTTTCACTATCATGAAGTATAATGATTTCTTCGGTTATTAACATATTTTATTGATATTTCCAATGAAATGTTATTTACACATTTAATAAAAGTTAATTGATTAAAGTTTTTTTCCAGTTTTGCATGACGATCAAAAAACTCCTGATCATTATGGTGCAATTAAAGATAATTATAAATCTTAATTGACTTATAATTGCAATTAACTAGCACTTTATCGAATCTAACATTGCAAGAATACATTAAGATTATTTATGGATTATACTGATATAATATTAATTAAACAATAGTGTAAAATTATAAGGATAGCATTATGAGATCGTTTGTTTTTGATATTAATATTATCTGATGATATTGATCCACTACGTTATTCTGTATTTATGAAGAATTAAATGATGATTTGACATTTTTACCATGCATTACTCTATCTCTTTAATGAAATCACTCTTCAATCAAATGAATTCGAATAGATAGTCCATATTAGTTTGCGACAGAAACTGTGAGAGTGATGACTATGTCAAATACCATAGAAAAGGCTGTATATCCTTTACTCCTAACTGCTTCAATTCTCGGTTTAAGTGTCTACTCTCCAAAGAAACTTTATTTACGTATTTTTTATAATATAACAATATGGACTACTTATGGATCTATTTGTTATTATGTAGTGATAATATTTAAGACGGAGAGATGGTTTCAATCAACTTCTTATATCATTTATATACAGATTTGCATTCTTGCTAATACTACATCTATTGTTACGAATGTATATCAAAACAAGGTATATGTAAATCTGTAATTTGTAATATAATACTTAGAAAAATATAATACTTTATACAATAAATTTTATTTTTAAAAGGATAATATTTTCATAATTTTATAATTTAAAATTTAAAATTTATTATTTAATACATTAATATCATTCATATAATACGATCTTAACGTTATATATAAGAATTAATACTATTCATTATAATATTTAATTTAATTGTATTGTCTAATATTATTTAGAGATTTCGAATATTTATGGAAAGACTTGCTGCTGTAGACGACACGTTAAAAGAGTTAGGCACTCCCAAGATGTATCGACAGTTACATTCATATGTGAAAAAAATATTAATAGGATGGTTCGTGTTTACTTTTATAGGAAATACATGCGATAGCATTTGGTGGTTCTACGCAGAAAAGGATCATCGATGCATGATTATACCTTACATTATAAATCATTTTAATCACGTCAACATGTTTGAAGATATATTATTTATGTATTTTCTGTGGTTTGTATCATATTATATCATTATATACTAAAGATTATATTTTTAGAAGAGAAAAATCTAGTATTCTTTAATAAAAATGTTTACAAAAAGAGAAATGTAATTCATGTTTATTTTGCAAACAAAACATTTTACTGTAGATCATTTACATTTTGAGTAATTACATATAATCACAATTATTTTGTTATTATACATTTTAATTATTATATAATTAAAATTCGTTCTTCTAACAGGTATATTGGCACTAGATTTGACAAAGTAAACGAGCATATGAGATGTCTATTGATTAAAAAAGAATATGGATTGAGATATACATGGAGAAAATCTATGCTGACTACTCGGGGATGTAGCATGTATACTGAAAAATACAAGTGCATACTGTGGACTTTAATGTAAATCGAAATAAAAAAAGTATACGGACATTTAAATAAAATCTATCAATAAAAATAATGCATTTTATATAGAAAAAATTGGATTTATGCAAACAATAGAGAAATGATTTCTTCATACAGATTGATGATTTCTTCATCGTCGTAAAATTTATTTTTTCAGTCTTTCATTAACTTTTATTAAATTTTATTCTTTTACAGGCATGTCCATCTGGAATTATGTCAAATCGCTCGTGAATTAAATGTAATATTCGGCCCACAATTGATTATGAAAATAGTAGTCTATTTCGTATATATAATAAAATTATATTATATTATTATTGTGCATGTGCAAACGAAGGGTCATTTTCTATATACATCATTTATCTGGTTTGATGTGTCTTTTTGGATAATATTGCAAGTAGCTAGACTCTTCTGCTTAAATTATATCTGCGAGAACGTCAGCGCTAAGGTAAATTCTCGCAAATTTTAATCCTGTAAATATATATATATATATATATATATATATATATATATATACTTAAATATATATTTATTTATTTGTTACTTTTTTATTTTGTATTTATTAATAATAAGTTTATTAATAATAAGTTATCGCGATTTTAGGCTAACAAAATAGAAAAAATAATTCATCAGTTAACAGATTTTCTTCGGTATGCTGATGTTCGTGACGAGGTAAAATATATTTCTATAATAAAAGTAAATCGATTAAGTCATTTCAATTTTTAATTATTGTACTTATGCGCAGATTTATCAATTTTCTTTACAAATTATATATCATCCGCTGAAATTCACAGGACTAGGTTTGTTCTATTTTGGCAATGATCTTTTACGAAAGGTTCTTACATTGTTTATAATTCTTATATGTATCTCTTTTTGTATCTTTTTATTTTAACATTATTTTATAAATAATTTTAGATAATAATTTTTTATTACATCTTTTATATGATATCTTTATTATTATATTCTGTTATATGGTGAAGACTAGATTAACGTACGAAAATCCAAGTTTACAATAGTGTATTGTATATGTAATTTTTTTATACAAAAAATTTTATTTACATATTTTCTTTCAGTTCTTCATGACAATTTTCACATTTGTAATCTTCATAATGCAAGTGGCTACCATACCTAAAAAGGAGACAGATTTTTAAAAAGAAAATTAATCAAAAATTAATATTCCGTGTTAATAAGCATACATTATATAAAAATTTAAAATAGGCACATTATATAAAATTTAAAATAGGCTTCAATACAGTTGACAGTATTTATAGTAAGGACATATAAAATGATGAAAATTTTATGACTTTTATCCTTATCCTGGATTCCTTCTTTATCTGTATATTGCCATTCTTACTCTTTTATTCTAGATTTTTTTTAGTAAAAGAACAACATAATTAGCGCAGAGTATAAATATAATTAGACAATTAATTCTTTTAGAGAAACTTTTCTGCAATATATAAAAAAATTCTTTTTCAATCCCTGTCACTTACTATACTATTTTTTTTATGAACTTGTGGAAAGATGTTGCATTTCTGGTCAAATTAATAAAAGTTTATTACTTGAAATTTTCATAACAATGAAATAAAAATCAAAGAACAAGTTTTATAATTAAAAGTTTAATTAATTTTATTCAGAAAAATTAACAACAAATCTATTATAAAAAGATGTAAATGATGATGAAATTCAATGATAAATTCAAAGGATATAAATGTTATAAATACAAAGATGGTTTAATAAGTCAATAAAGTCTCAAATATAATATATGAAAGTAAAATATATGAAGCATACACACACATACACACATACGTGTACACACACGCGCGCGCGCGCGCGCGCGCGCGCACGCACACGCACACGCACGCACACGCACACACGCACACACACATGTAATGAAATACTTGATCGATATTGTTGGACAATATTAGCATCAATAATTAATAAACAGCTTTTAGCTTAAGATAATTGTCTTAAGTTAATATTTGACTTCCTAGCGAACAGAAAGTGACAGGAATAAAACATCGATGTTATAATTTTTCACTCAACAATGTAATTGCAAGATAATATACCTTACATAACAGTTACATTGTTGAGTAAGAAATTATTACATTGATGTTATGTTACTGTTTCTTTATGTTTGAATTGACAGTACAATAAACAAGCAACAACATTTTTTAATGAATGGGAAACAATATGGATGTCTTTATAATCAGTAAATCTTAATTAGGATTTATCTTTTTAAATAAAAATCTTATTTTTTTAAACAAAACTCTTTATTTTTTAAAATAAAAGCCGATGCTTTTTATATAATAATTAATAAAAATATAATTTATATAAATGTTAAAAATATCTGTTTTATTTAAAACAGATATATAACAAATTTCAAATAATATAAAATATCAAATTGACGAAACGAACAATAAATATTGAAATGCATATTAATGATATTTATGTTCATATATAATTATCTATATATAAACGTTGTTTATAATCAAATTTGTAATAATTAGAAATGAATATTAAGTAATAAACTGGAAGGATGTACAATTTTTTCGAAAATTACACATATTTTTCTCATTTAATAACATATTGAATTATTTTCATTAAAGATCAAAATTCGAGATAAAGGGGAAGTATCCATTTGCATCATAAAAATCATAATACCAACAATTCCTACGATGAACTGAAAATTATCAGAATATCAATTATTATTATTTAATTTTTTTTTATATAACCTAAACTTGTAAATTATTTTTAAATTGCATTATGTACTTATATAAATATGAATAATATGAATAATATTAAAAACTAACCTTACAAATAAATTTGTAGCCAAAGTAAAATAAACTCATTCCGTTGAATTTTAACGAACGAAGTGATATTTGCAAAATAAATTGGCAAATCTGCAAATGTAACACATTACTGTTATTTAAGAATTCTTAAACGAAGATTAAAATCAGAAGATTTTAAGCTAGAAAATTTGTCTTACATCTTTACGTATCTGATCAAAATAGACAAAGTTTGTCAATTTATGAATCATGTCCTTGGTTTTCTCCGCCTGAAATATAAAATTAATTTTATGATTGTAATAATTGTATCTTTACTTATATTAATTATGTGAGTTGCGATAATTGGATATTTATATGATTAAATTTGCAATTATTATGAAGAAAGAATTTCTTTATAATAAAAAGGTAGAAAACAGTTTAAAAAATACTTATTTTTCTTTTTATGTTTTTGATTCAAATACTTTAATAAAATAATTTTATATCTAAGGAGATATTTATCTAAGGAGATTGAACACCATATAGAAAAAATATTTTCTTTTTACAATTCATCTAAAAATTACTCAAAAATTTACCTTGGCACCAACACTTTCGCAAACATAATTCAATGTTATTAATTTTGTTAAGTATATGCCGCACCATAGGTTAGTATGAATTAAAATTATTAGTTTATTTTCCACGCTATACATTTTTTCTTCCAAACATAACATTACATGATATTGAAAATAAAAAAATCCGGTCAAAAGAACGAAATAGCAAATCATCTGCACGGTTATTTGCATTCCAAAGAAAGCATTTATATTGCGAGCTATTCGGCAAAGGTCCAAATGAAGGTGTCTAAAAAATATATTAATAGATAAATATATACATTAAAATGTACACACACACACGCACACACATATATGTTGAAATATTTGTATAATCGCTGATCTATTTCTATTAAGGACTACATGCGTGTAATGTTTGTCTATTTATTTAAAATTAAGTGTGATGAAAAATATGATTTAATATTATATGATTACAACTTACATCGAAATAAATATTTTTCATAAGGCAAATCAAAATTAATATATTTATAATTACATTATGTAAATTCGAAAATTTGTAATTATATATACATATGTAAAATCACGAATTTTTTGATAGTTAAATAGATACAAATTGCTAGTAGAGAAATATATGAATAAGATTGTAATACAATAAGATAAAATTTATACATTTTTATACATTTATTTTATACATATATTTTTAGATTAATAAAATTGGTTTTTATTTATGTTAAAATAAATCCCTTAATTTTGACGATATTCATCTTAGGATATATCAATTTACATTGCAATCCATAATACATGTTCACGATTTTCAGCATTTTGGATATAGTAATGAGACTTTTTCCAAGTGCATCTTAATCCATTCTCTTGGGTCTCTGATAATTGTCCAATATATTCATTGATTTTATTTAATCTAGTACCGATATATCTGCAATAATATCGATATCTATAATTTAGAAAAAAAGGATAAAGTAAAACAAAAATTTAATGTTTTTATTTCTTTCATTTAGAATTTTTTATTATAACAGCATTACTAACTTCTGAATCAACAGACTCGATTAAAGAATTGTGCTTTTTAAGAAAAAAAAGTCTATTAAATTTCATTAAATAAATGCTAATTATATAGAAATTTATACATAGCATACAAATATAAAATTTAATTTATATATATGTGTGTGTGTGTGTGTGTGTGTGTGTGTGTGTG